ATGACTGATTTAGGGACTGCAGATACAGGGCCAAGGCAAGGGAGACACCACTGCTTTCCATCCAGCATGTTTGGCAAAAGAGATCATTTCAACCGCAAACAGCAAGAGATGAGGGATTATTATTTCCTCCTTCCATCCCTTTTTTCTGTTTAATCTAATTACTAACAACTTCTAATAATTTGACATAGTTTATGATTTAATTGGAAAATGAAGTGTTTTTAAATAATAAACCCGTTTCTGATTCTGAGATTTATTTTTGACATATGGGTGTTGAGAGATGTATCCATATCTCTTGATGTTGCTCTCAAAGTGCACAAGATTGATGCTTTTAACTTCAGTATTTAAAAAAAGTCTTCCTGGGGGACCCCAGAGGAGGTGAGTTCCCCCCAAAATAGCACTTTGTCTGTGCTTATGTAACTCCGGTGTAGTGTCCCCTCGGCAACAGATCACTCAGAGCTGGTGATTACTTTCCTGCATTTCAATGGACAGCATATAAAAAGGACACGTGAGCTGCATTGCTTAAGAGATCCTCTCATGCTATCTCTTTTACAAAATAAGTGTCCAGTCAACAACAAATTTCAGTGATCGTATAGTGGTAGTATATTTTTCACAAGCAATGTGAAACATTAAACTTATACAAACTGGTGTACAAAACTCACATACCTGCGTTGATCTCCTGGAGTGTCTCTACTCTTTCTTCTCCACATCTCTTGTCCACCATCAGAGATTGCAAACATTTCAGAAACAGCTAGAGGTAGGGGACAAACAACTTGTTCGCTGGGCATGTCAAAAACCTCCCTGCTTTGATCAAGACTTTAGGGAGCCTTTCAGCCCCTCTAGTAAAGGGACTGGAAAGCAAGCTTTGAAAATGCAGTACCATCTACATGCTGTCCTGTTCCAGACACTGCTCTCAACCACTCAGGGCCTGCTTGAATACCTGCAGAAAGAAACAATTGACTTGGTGCAGGCAGTAGATTACAAAACAGCAGTTGAGAACACACTGAAAAGTTACCAAAGTAACGAGAAAGCACATGAGGTCTATGACAAGACCAAGGCCCTGTGCAATGATCTTGATATTCCCGAAACTGTGACACAGAGGAAGAAGCGTAGAAACATGGAAGACTTTGTAGTCGAGGCATCATGTGGAGCAATGTGAAACATTAAACATAAATAAACTGGTGTACAAAACTCACATACCTGCATTTCAATGGACAGCATAAAAGGACTCGTGAGCTGGGTTCTGGTGCTCAGATTAGCTATTGATGATCACGTTGATAAATCATATAAAACAAATAGCCAATCACACTAAAAACATGTTGCTGTGACTGTGAGCATTAAACAATTAACATTAAACTAAACAAACACAACAGAACGTTATTGTCCTTATAAAATAAAAACATACATTTTGTCCACCGAGATAATACAGGCACCTTACCCTCAAGAGATCCTCACGTGCTATGAGAATCTCCCACACTCCATTGCCGTAACAAAGCTTTTTGTTTGTGACACCAGATGGCGCAATTGTGTATGTGTGTGTGGGGAGTCTTGCAGTAGAACATTTGACTGTAGCGCCGCCACTGTGGGCTAAGCCCCGAATGTTTCCAGGTCCAGGCGACGCCCCTGGTGAGCACGAAAACAAAACTGCATTGGGTGGATGGAGCCAGTGCTTGAATTGGGCCGGTACTCACCGGTACGCAGTACGGGCACTTCTGATTTTTACCCATGTGGTACCGGCATTTTACTGAGTCATGACTCATCTATGACGCACCGCAGCGATAGACTAGAGCAGAAAAGACATCACATAACGTTAGCATTTCGAAAATGTTAGCGTGGCTTAATAATAGTGCGAAAAGACAGCGGTTGTCGCCGGACAAGGATTCCCTCTCTCCTTTCCTGCTGAAAGATGGTGAATGTATTCAGGGACGAGGAGTCATTTAACCAGCCGCCAGTAGGAGTCAGGCTTTACTTTCTTTTATATCCATAAAGAAAAAGTAAATCTGTTTACAGTTGTTTCATATGGATGTTGAGAGGTATCCACATATCTCTTAATTTTGCTCTCAAAGTGCACCAGATTGATGCATCTAACTTCAATATTTTAAAAAAAATCTTCCCAGGGGAGCATGCCCCCGGACCCCCCTAGAGGGTGTTAGGTCCACTCCCCACTTATAAAAATAGCACTTTACCACTGCACCCCCTCTAATCTCAGATGCACCCTGAGTCATTTTGTTTAAGTACAGTGAGCCTTTCTAAAATATACAGTAAAGTGACAAACCCACCAGCATTATAGGATATACTATGACTTTGAGCCAAATACTTGTTTTTGGGCTGTATAAATAAATTGACTTGAAAAAGTTGCTGATTTAGAGTACTGGCACCTTTTTTATTCCAATTTAAGCACTGAGTGGAGCGAAACCTTTATCTAAATGTTTGGTAATTATTTTTGACACCCATTTCTCAGCTATCTTAGAGACACAGGGGAGGATGCTGATTTGTCTGTAATTGGACATCGCTACCTTTTATCTCAGTATTCCGTATCAGTTATTGCTTTGCATTTACCATAATCACCATTACTTACAGATTAATTTAAGATCAATCAGTGTGCAAACTGATTAATGTTGACTTCTGTTATCATGACTCAATTACTTCAAATGATTGACAGGAGAATTTCAAGGCCTTTTTTAATGGTGTGATAAGTGCCTGAGATAACACAATTAATTCAATATAAGGAACCATCTTTTTCAACAAAACACTATGCTCCTGCTTGAGTGAATTACCAAATAAAGTAATGCTATTAACTACACTGCCCAGCTGTTTCATTGAGCATTTTTTATGAAACTTTTATTATTTCTTACCAGTCTTAAAACAATTTCCTCATAAACAGGGTTTTGTGGGGTTGATTGATCACAAATAGGCAGAAGTGGAAGAATAACTCAGATCTTGTATTTAAGTATAAGTAAAATTACCAGAGAGTAGGAATACTCTGTAACAGGAAAGTCCTGCATTCAAAATGTTACTCAAATAAAAGTAGAGCATCAAACTTAAAGTACCAAAAGTGAAAGTTCTCATTATGCAGATTGACCCATTCCAGAATAATATATTATATTATTATGTTTTGATTATAATTATTGATGTGTTTATCAAAGCTGGTAAAGGTGCAGCAAGTTTTAATTACTCTGTATACTGCAGGGTACATTGTGAATGATACTCCAGGTGCAACTAAAGTCTTATCTAAGGGTTGATTATATTTCACATCATTAATCTATTATTACGCAAAGTAACAAAAGTGTTACTTAAGTACAATATCTTAGTACTTTTTCCACCTCTGCATAAATGTAGTGGAGTAAAAGTACAATATTTGCCCCTTAATTGTAGTGGGGTAGAAGTACATCAAATGGAAACACTCAAGTAAAGTACAACTACAACCTCCAAATTGTACTTAAGTACAGTACTTGAGTTAATCTACTTAGTAACTTTACAGCACTGCAAATAGGGGAAGTAGTGAAAGATTGACTGCTGCTTTACTGATTTACTTCTTCTGTCGTTAGTCAACAATATGAAAAACATGCCATCATACGCGATGAGTGCACATTTTATTTGTTGGTCAAATCCGGCTGTGGAGTGTCACACGGCATGGCAGGGGCACACAATGCAGCGAGAAATAATGACATGTTTGCTCTGTGGTGACATCTGATGGTGAAAAATACGTTTTTATATTGAAAGAAATGACTACTAATTACAACTTTTAACAGAATATGACAATGACTTGCACTCAACTATCAATATTATTATTCAATTTTAACCTAAACTGGATTGTATTGTACTTGCAGAGGTTTAATTGCAATTCAATGTTGTCAAACAGAAGAAAGGACATTGTTACGTGATCTTTCAGTGAACTAAATCCAATAGAAAAGTAAGAACAAAAGGAGAGATTTTGAGTGGAAATGACATGTTTTTTTATGAGGATAAGCTATAGGTACTATGTAGTAGTACTGTAGGTTTAGACACCAACCAAGGTATTTTTCTGGTAACATTGTATTGATTCTTTCAGCTGTTTAAGTAAACTCTGAACATGTGACCCCGTCCTGAGTTCACAGGTAGCCAAGCAACGAGAAGAATGCAGTGTTAACAAAAAAGCATTTCTGTAGGGCACGACTCCAATTAGTTTACAATCAGGGGTGAAAGAAGTACTCAGATCTTGTACTTAAGTTAAAAGTAGAAATAGCAAAGTGTACGAATTCTCATTAACAAGTAAAAGTCCTGTATTCACAATGTTACTCAAGTAAAAGTACAAAAGTATTGGCATCTAAATATATTTTAAGTACCTATGCTCATTATGCAGATTGGCCCATTTCAGAATCATGTATATATTTTGATTTTAATTATGATCTATTTATGTGTTAATCAAGCTGGTTAAGGTTAACTAATTGTAATTACTTTATTGAGTAGCTTGTGAATTTAGTCCATATTAGTCTTATTTGAGTGTTGATCATATTGTTTATCATTAATCTATACCTGCAACGCAACTAAAGGTACTACATAAATGCAGTGGTGTAAAGTAACTAAGTAGATATACTCTAGTACTGTACTTAAGTACAATTTTGAGACACTAGCACTTTACTTGAGTATTTCAATGTTGTGCTAATTATTTCTACTCCACTATAATTTAGATGTAAATAGTATACTTTTACTCCACTACATTTATTTTTGAAATATAATCAACACTTAAATAAGACTTCAATTACAGCTGGTGTAAATCCACAAGCCACCCTGCAGTATACAAAGAAATAAAAAGATGCACCTTTACCAGCTTTGATAACACTGACCTTTTGTACAAAGGATGTGGTGTGTGCGTGCGTGTGTGGCAGCAGGAAACAACCATGTTCTTTTTTTGGATTGGCTTTCAATGTTACTGGGTCGCGATTTCCTGATAGAGGGCCACTGTTAGCCCCGCCCACAGGGCAGATAAGTAGAATCACCGATGAAAAAATAAGAAACAGTGAGAGGAAGCAGATAAATATGCAAGGAGGCTGAGGAGACACATGCAGGGAGAAAATGACTTCCTTTATGGTCTTCACTTACTACGACTGGAGAAACACACTTCAGCCCTGGTGAGTCACTGTTTGATATAGTCTTCATATTAGCATTACAACTAATTAGAAATAAGCTTACTACATAATGACTTCCTCTCGAATAACGAATTCTGATTTAAGATCCCGCAGCGTTAAATTACACTACATGTTTAATTTAAAGCCTTTTATATTATTGTTATATTCCTAAATGTCATAAGAAACATAACATTATAACATGTAGAGTGCAAGTTAAAAGTTGTTTTAGTGTATATTGGCCGCTAAATGTTACTGGTTTGTGTTTTTTTTTTTTTTTTTCCTGTAAATGCAGATTTAAATTAGTTTATCGGAGATGATGAACGGTGTATCATTATACAATGGAAAAAGGAGGAGAAAGGAAGAGGTTTTCAAATAAACTCCTCAAGCGGAAATAAACCAATAACACAGAATCATAATTCTCCATTCAACGAAAAGCCCTGCAAAGGTTTGCTACTGTCAGTGTTATAGCCTAGTGGCATAATAAGCTATTTTTTTATACTACACTTTTTGAAATCATTACTTATTTTGTAAGAATGGGTCATATCTAGAGGGATTATATGTTTGGTATGTGAAATATTAATTAAAAAAGTTATTAAATGAATGTTTTGAGGTGTAGTTACTGATCCCTAAAGTAAAAACTGCATAGCATGTTACCTCAAAAATAAATGTAAGTACTGTAGGGAGACCAAGGCAAGGCAAGGCACGTTTATTTATATAGCACCTTTCAACACAAGGCAATTCAAAGTGCTTTACAAAAAACGAAAGACATTCAGAAAATGGCATTTAAAATCAGTCATTAAAAAGAAAAGATAATAAAATAAACATTAAAAGAAAAAATACATGGATAAAAGATACAGTGCAGTCTAAGATATGAATAGTTCAATTAAAAGCAGCGGCAAAAAGAAAAGGTATTACAGGGACAGTTGTAACACTTTTTGGGTTTTCCCCAATAAGTACAAAAACATTACACTAGCCATTTTGCTATTATACATTCTCAATGTGTCAACTACTGAAACAATGTATTTAAGATGTTTCTATGAAATAAGTACAGGTTGGAAAATGTATTTTTTTTTTTATTTCAACTGTTACAACCGTCCCTGTGTACAGGGACGGTTGTAACATGTTAATAATAGTTGCCTTTTTTCACACTACATGAAAAAAAAGAGGGAAAGCTGTCCTCAGTTCTGTTCTGTTTCCGGTTATTTTTATTTTGAAATTCAGTTCCTGACGGACGCCAAAAAAGCCCGAGATTATGGAATTAAACCAATAAATAAAAGCAAGGATAATTGTGTGTTATTGGTGAGTAAATAACAGTGTGTTATTTTGAAAAGAATAACAAATTAGAAGGAAAAAAAGATTTTAAAAATACAGATTTCAGTATTCTGAGGCTCTGAGCCCCATTTATTTTCCTCACAGACGGCAACAAAAGTCCAAAATTATACGATTTAAAATAAAAGCAATAATTGTGGCTTGATATTGAGTAAGAACGATGGTAAGAACATGTTTTTATGAACCATACAGCTTCCGGTCTTCCACGACCCGAGGCACGAAACACATTACCAGTAGAAATACATTGCTTTTAAAATCGTGCTGTGCAACACGAAAAAAGGGGAAAATCGTGTTGGTGAACACGAATCAATAGATTAAAAATCGTGTTGGTGAACACGAAATGCCATGAGACTGGGTTGAAAAAGGCATACTGTAGTGTGAGTATGGGCAGCTCAATTAAAAGCAGCGGCAAATAGGTGCGTTTTTAATCGGGATTTAAAAATAGGTAGTGTTTCGGCGGACGTGCACGATTTAGGCAGTTTTCCAAATTGTTGGGGCATAATAACTAAAAGCTGCTTTTCCATGTTTAGTGGTTATTCTCGGAACAGAGAGCAGACCCGACCCAGAGGACCTGAGACTCCTGGATGCTTCATAGTGATGGAGTAGGTCGTCTACAGTGGCGGATTTAGGATTGTAGAAGATCCGGGGCTTAGCCCAGGAGTTGTTGGGGGGGGGGGGGTGCAGGGGTAAAGTGCTATTTTTTACAAGTGGGGAGTGGACCGAACATCCTTTAGGGGGGTCGTCGCCTCTTCTGGGGGGTCCGGGGACATGCTCCCCGGGAAGATTTTTTTTTTAAATATTGAAGTTACAAGCATCAATCTGGTGCACTTTGAGAGCAACATTAACCCTACCTTAATAATACCTTAAAGCGGACAAAAGGAAATGGAGAACACTTATTCATTAACACCCTTTAATGAAGCAAACCAGTGTTGTAGTCAAGTCACCAATTCATGAGTCCAAGTCACTCTAGAGTCACCACTCTTTGAGTCCGAGTCCAAGTCCGAGTCACCAAGGGAGAGTCGTAGTCGAGTCCGAGTCTGAGTCAACCAAGGAGTGTCCTTGTCGAGTCCGAGTCATCATTACCTGTGTTCGAGTCCGAGTCCAAGTCCGAGTCACAAGTCTTCATGTATTAATCTTCGTGGATATATGTGTTGAAATGTAGCTGCTCCTCTACATTGCTTTTATCCTGTCATGTTATACTAATCTGTCTATTGAACTGCAGTGAAGCGAGTTTGGCTACAATTCTTGTAATAGGTGCTATACAAATATAAATCTTATTACTAATATTAATATTATTATATATAAATAAACTATATTTAAATGAGTTACCTTTTAGAGAAGTGATTATATTTGTATACCAATATTTTTCTATGGTAAAGTTTTCGTTTTGCACTTTTATTTTGATAGTAATAAAATTGGGACTCTTATTTTGAAGGAACTTTTACCGGTTAAATCGGTTTACTGATAGCCCCAGAAAGCACATGGCTACATAACATGCACAATTACGTCATTCTGCATGCTAAGTAGCCATGTGCTTGTGTTATCGGCTGAATCTTTATTTATTGATTAGATCACGTTACTCTGATGATAGTGTTCAAGACAGAGCCTATATGTCTGAACTCGATCCTTAGAGTAATGTGTTAAGGAGCCTTTTCTTCAATATTGTTTCCACATAACGAGCATTTTGCGCTGCTCTTTTCCAATGTGGAAGCAGAATGTGTGAAAGCATACAGCACGATGCGGGGTGTGTCTAGACATCTCCAGTAGCGTGGCGTGGGAAAAAAATTAGGGGAAGCCAATAATACGTCCTTTCTTTTGGGTCGGGGGTGTGGTGGTCAATGTAATAACGTAACCAGATGAGTGATTACAGCACCCGGTATCATTTTACACACATTTGTATCAGATGCAGGATTTACACACGCCTGTTATACCGACAGGTCCGCACGCTCTCTCCAGCCGAAACTCTAATAAGCATTCATTCACAAACTAAATCAGGAGACCTTTAACGTTTTACGTCCGATTCACTCCTTTTTTCCTCTCTGTACACAGCTCCAGTTTGGGCATTGGCCTGTCATCAGATTGTATTTGTTGTTGCTGCTGTAGCGGAAGTTTAGTACAATTATTTTTGATGAAATACTCCAAATCTCCACCCTCCATAATTGCACTTACTTCAGTTGCTTGCTACTTTCTAACGGCGGTGAGAGTGGTGCAGTGGCGCTATCTATCTTCTATCGATTAGATTTATGATTCGAAAATGATAAAAGTAGGGTAGACATGTGGATATTATCCGACTGAACAAAACTTGCATTTATCTAACAGGTTCGTTTTCCACTGACCTTATTTCGAGCTATTTTCCTAAATCCTATGGTGAAATCCCATTGCGTTTTTGTCGAGGGAAGCCGAGCGCAGCTTACTTCCGGATTTTAGGACGCGTCACTGCAACACTAAATTGAAGCGATTTGATTGGATTGTGAGGCAAGGGAAGCCAGCCGCCTCTGGCTTCACTTGGCATGGCCCTGACCAATCACAGGTTGGCAGGGGCATCACGTGAGCCTCATCTGATTGGTCAATCCCTCCATTTTTTTTCACCAAGGGAAGCTAGATTCGGCTGGCCTCCTCTCGCAACAGTGAGTGCAATCTACTGTTTCACCATAACATCTAGAGGGGCGCTGTTTGTTTCACTCTTTGTAAAATACTCAATGAGAATGGGGGAGAGACGGGCCGGCAGCAACACACAGCAAAGGAGAAGTATCGAAACAAAACAAAGTGTTTTTATTTATTTATTTAAATTATAACTAGCCTACAATCCGAAAAAACAGGGGAAGCCAGGCTTCCCTTGGCCTCCGGGAGAAAACGCCACTGGACATCTCTAGACTGGATTAGCGGGGCCCAGTCTGTGAACTCGCCTCGCAGGGCAGGGAAGGCTACGCAGTACGCAGGCTAATGTCCCGCTGCGGCTGCCTCTCTGGTGGACTCCGGTACTGCACATTACTCACGAGACCATTTTTTTTTTAAGTGAAACATCCGGGGCTTTTCAGAAAACATCCGGGGCTTGAGCCCAAGTAGCCACCCCCTAGCGCCGCCACTGGTCGTCTATATACCTCGGTCCTAAGCCATTTAGTGATTTAAAAACTAGCAGTAGTATTTTAAAATCAATTATTTGGCAGACTGGAAGCCAGTGTAATGATCTCAGAACCGGAGTGATGTTGATCCACTTTTCTAGTGTCAGTGAGGACTCGAGCAGCAGTGTTCTGAATCAGCTGCAGCTTTCTGATAGATTTTTTAGTGAGCCCTGTGAATACACTATTGCAGTAGTCGAGTCTACTGAAAATAAAAGCATGGACAAGTTTTTCTAAATCCTGTTGCGACATTAGTTTTTTAATCCTTGATATATTCTATATATCTTGCATAGGGAAAATTAGTGGCAGTGTACTCATGGATGTCTTCTGCCATTCTATTCAGTTCACGTTCTCCTACTTCCTGTACTCGGTTTCCTGTCTAACCTTCAGTACAAATTTTACAAAAATATAAATGTGTAAATATGAAACATACAGGTCAATATCACCTTGCTATTGGTAGCTGAACTGTCAATACCCCAAAACATATTATAAGATATAAATACCTAATTTTGAGTTATTCAGACACAATTAACACTTATAGTTTCATGTCTTGTTCCATAAGAATAGATCATATTTGTTAAGTGTTATTATGGGAGAATTACTATTCTTGTGCTACTACTGCCTTATTAGGCCCATATTGAGCAGAGCATATTAAGACCAAAACTCATGTACAACAACTTCCTTACTTGCAATAAATAAGCACTAATTAGAGGGTTATGGAGGAAAAACTCTCAACTAATGGCTTATTACTTGTAGAATATGGTCATGTAGAATAAGGCATTAATAAGTGTTTTATAATGACTAATAAAGAGCCAATATACTACTAATATGCATGTTAATTAACAACTAGTTGATGGTTAATTTGTGTACCTTAAAGGTGGGGTAGGTCATTTCGGAGAAACCAGCTCGAGTGCACGTGCATTTTAAAATACCCAACCGGAGAAAATCTGCTACTTCCTTACAGAGCCCCTCCTCCAACACACACGAACGCGCACATGACCAATGAGGGCACGAGATAAATTTGTGCACAGATGGAAGGCTGACAGGCAGGTAGGCCATCCAGTTATTTTAGCCGGGCCGGCTCAGACGATTGGTCGTGCTTTTTACAGTACTATGGCTTCCACAGATGACATTTTTTTATGGATTTTGTGTCAAAGCACTTAAGATATTCATTGCTATAGGGATGTTAAGAGTATTCCATGGAATATAGCAAAAAGTGTATCTCAAGCCGGTTTCTCAAACTTAATATAAAGTATTACCGCCTTTTTTCTTAGAATTAGCCTTTTTTCTCATAAATAGATTTTTTTTTCAAAATGTCACTTCTCTTTTTCAGAATGTGGCTTTTCTTTTAAAATCATATTGTGACATTCTAACTGAAGAGGCTTGCAATTATTTGCCCTAGACTTCTGCTTTCAGACGTAGTTAATTATGAAGTTATTACCCTATCCGATAATAATCCGATGCAGAGGCAATAATGTAATATAATACATTATTTTATATATATTCAATATTTATATATGTCTTTTTATATAGTTTTAAAGTTACAACCAGCCCTTTGAGTGCAACCATAATGCTGATGTGGCCCGTGATGAAATTGAGTTTGACACCCCTTGTAGTGTTCTCATGCAGTGTGTTGAAACTCTGGTGTAAACACTGAGTTAAACCGCAGCCAATGAAGACAGAGTCGTAGTAGGTTTGACCGTTTACTGTCACAATTATTCATAGACATGGCGGTGAAAACTGTAAATAAACACAATACATTGTTCTTAATGTAAATACAAACTTAAATTGCTTTCCTGCATTCCTTACAGTGTTTAACATAGTTGTAAATAAATCATAACTAATCAATGATCTTTTTAACAATATTCTTCCTAATAAATGATCTTTCATGTGAAATAGGTCAAATAGATGAACTTACAGCATTGCTTCTAGGATGTTCCTTGTAGTGATGTGTCGGTCGCGAACGAGCCGGCTCTTTTAAGTGAACGACGGAAGCCGGCTCGCGCCAACGAACGAGCCGTTTTTTTAAAGTAATACAAGACAGAATGATATGATGATCTCCGCGCTACAGCTGCTCCGTGCATGCATGCAGTGACATGGATTAGAGACTGTTGGATGCTGCTGTTTTGAGCATTGCAATATATTTATTTTCACTGTTATTTATTTATGATTATCCTTGGGCTCAGCAAAGGTTTGATGTCAGCTGTTGCTATCTTTTTTTCTATAGTTAATAGTTACTGAAATAGAGCCCTGCTGTTTTGTCAGGGCCTTTTCTTTAAACATAATTTTAAAATGTCGATACAGTAGCCCCTTTTTTAAAATGTCTATGTTTAAGTTTTTATAGGTGTTGCTATCTGCTTTGTAGCGTGGTTCTACAAGCAAGTCAGTACATTCATTGGGTGGTATATCAGAGAGTTACAAGGGTCTGTAAATGCAATGAAAACATTTGGTCACAGCAAATCATTTATATTAAACATGTAATT